CTTCGGAATGAAGGATTTTGAAGGGTACAACTGATGGACACTTCGTGCTCCCATGATCCTTTGCGCAGATTCTTTGCATGATGACGGCGCCTCCGTGTGGACACGTGATGATGACGCAGAAGGGCACTTCAAGAAACAGTTGTTTGGTCCCCTACACCCTTCAACCCTTCGAAGCTCTCACTCCGGAGGGTAAACCCTTTGAAGGGATTAGGGCATAGGGATGAGCCCTTCCGAATGGAACGCAGGGTGAAAAACAAAAAATGTAGGGCGGGTACTTGGTTCAGTGCATCAGTTGGATGTTGAGATGTGGGCGTGGCACTCAAAAATCGACGTGAGCTTGCAGTCAATTGTAAGAAAGGGGCGGGGTTTAAGCAGACTAAATGATTGGAGATGTCCTACATACGTCGCCGGAGAGAACACCTTTTAGGTCCAGTTATGAAATTTTAAGTAAACATTACCACAGGGGTCTCCAAACTCGGTCCTGGAGGGCCAGTGTCCTGCAGAGTTCAGCTCCAACCCTAATCAAACACACCTGAACCAGCTAATCAAGGTGTTACTAGGCATACTAGAAACTTCCAGGCAGGTGTTTTGAGTTAAGTTGGACTTAAACTCTGCAGGACACCGGCCCTCCAGGACCAAGTTTGGGGACCCCTGCATTACAAAGTAAATATATTAAATAAATAGCATGTAACACAGGAGGACATAATAGTGAAAGTTTTTTTGCATAACTATTAGAGAATGTTTCAGAGTTGGCTCCCTTTAAAGTCATGAACGTGAACTCGAGTTGGCCATGTTGTAATTCAAAGCATCTGATTACTGCAAGTGGCTAGTGAGTTGAATGTAGTCACCTCAAGAACAGTCTTGTGTTGTAGTTCACTTCTTGCCATCCACACTGCTGTGGTACTGTCACGGTATCAGGGCCAAACATACATCCCATATTGTGCATCAAGAACCTGAATTATAAGAATGATTACCAACAAATTAATTATGTAAAGTATTACAAACTTTGCTGTTAGCTACCTCAGGAATAGACACAGTTAAGGACTGAGAGCCCTCAAACGTGAATGATTTCTCTACTAGCGTTTGAGAAGATTCATTCATGGTCTTTCTGATGTTTTACCTTCCCTCTACTAGGACCACATTTTCAGCTTTCCAAAACAATTCCGGGCTTTAAATCCATTCAACCAATCATACCTGCACCGTTTAGGCGCTCTCTTTCTCTGTTGACGTTCTATTGGATCTGTTTGCTGGACAGCGACCCGTACACCAGACAGCCAATCAGCTTCCAAACTGACAGTACACTATGAAACAGCCAGCCAATCAGATTCTTAGATTCTCCAGTACGGGGCGGGATGTGAGCTATTTAGCACTAGCAGTTAGATTGCGCCATTCGGCGTGAAAGAAGCTTGCTGCCAGCAGGTTATCTAACTTTAGTTTATTATCCAACCCTTCAGTATATCAATCGCCTCCCTCTCTGAAATAAATATAACTTCATTCCTTTATAGCGTAAACCGCTGTCGGCAGCAAAAGAACCGCACACACATCTACAAGGCCTCCAGTGACTGACTAGCCTCTTCAGTCTCCATAGGTTTTCATAACATTCCAGTTAGCAGTAGCACACGAGCTCAAAGCGTCAAGCCAAAGACGCGCTGAAACGCTGAGGAATGAACCATAAAAGTAAGAAACGGATCAAAGAGGCGAAGCGGAGCGCCAGACCCGAGCTGAAGGACTCGAGCGACTGGACCAAACACAATTACTGCGAGAGCTTTGATCTGTCACACCGGACAGTGAAGGTAACGAAGTTCACGGCGCGTAACGTGTAGCACAGGCGTTACCGGTCGATCTGGACGCCACGCGTTAGCAGCAGCATCTGCCAGCTGTTGTGGCTTGCTGTTGAAATGGCTTGAAATGACAGTGGCCGCGTTCATCAGCGCACGTGCGCACTTCCTCGTGTAAAAAGACGCACTTTAAAAGTTCGTTGTTGCTAGAACAGTCGAATAGAAATGAACATATTTTATGTTTTAGATTTATATATATATACGCCGTGTTGAAGTGTTTTTAGAATATTTGAGATATTTCTATTATATAAATATACAATATCACAGAGTACCATGGGATATTATACGCACCGTCATGTCACTCTAAAACTGTGGTTCTCAATCAGGGGCCCCGGACCAACGAGGAGGCCTCAGCAAACTTACAATGATTTAAAATGAGCTGGCTTACACTGTCTTCTTGAACTACCTCATACATCCAGGTTTTTCCCAGTTTAAAAGTGTGATTTTTGTTTTTCAGTCAATAAATTAATGTAAGGTTAATATAATTTTAAAATGCCAGGGGCCTTTTTTTAAAATAAAGAAATAGGAATATGATTTTTCTAGTTGAGCTGAGCTTTAAAATCTTTTATTGAGTTGTAATTGGGAGAGAGAGAGAGAGTGGGAACCTTGAAGAACGTTAAAAGTTATGGAATCCTGAAATGTAATTATTTTAATTGTAATTATAATTATTTTAGTTAAATATTTGTATCCATAGACACTCGTAGTTTCAAGACCAAAGTACTTTGGAGACAAATATTTTGAGAGCAACTGTGTGTTATTTCTGTTTTAGAACACAAAAAGTGAAATTTTGGTGAGTCTTAAAGCAGCTTCTTTTTCATACAACAGTAGTTCTTGTGAATGTTGACCTCTAAAATGCACAAAAACACCATTAATTGGTCACTCACTCACTCACACACTCTCAC